GTTGCAGTAAACAAAGACATAGCATAATAAATCTGAGATATTAAATCTAAGATATAAACGTTCTGAGATATTATAATCTGAGATATTATAAACACTTACATTGTGTTATATTAAAGTGTACTATTGGAATTTGTTTTCATTTGTCAGAAAATTAACTGTTTGTGAAGAAAGTTAAGTTGATCTTGTAAGTTCCGAAGGGTTTTCTTGGTATTTGATTATTGGTGCATGTTAGCAATATCTGATAACTTTTATTGATCTTAAGGAAAGCTTTCTCTTGAATTTTTGATCAATTCGTCTTTTATCACTAATTCTAAGAGAAGTTCCTCCTCATTTCTACAGCTCACTCGAATCATTACCGGTGAAAGCTGAGTTGCTTTTGAGTAGTTTCAAACTGTCGCTCTGGTGGTTTAATCAGCAACTGAGAAATTACAATCTCTTTAATGTCATTATTTATTACCACTCGCCAATTTCTATTATTGCGAATATAGCTTTTGTTTTACTTACAATTAGTGCCTAAACACTAGTGATTCACCGATCAGAATTCAAAGCGAACATTCAAAAGGATCACCGAAAGTTGATTACATCCCATAAAATCGTACTGAAAATACGAATAATACAACCAAACGGACCATTCATAATCCGATTAGTGATGTAGTATTCGAATAAATACGATTGATTTATGTTTCGATTAAACTCGATATTTGTGTGGATGAAATGAACGAATCAATTGATTTCCCATCAACTCTAAATTCCCAGCCATATATCATTATTTCCTATCAATGTAGTACTAATCAGTGAACGACTGCACACAATCGTAACCACAATTCAAATGTATACTATTGAATTGAAAAATTTCAAACTGCTTCACCATAAAATGGACTGCAAATGTTTAATTCAAGGTCTAGATCGTTCAATAATATAGTTCAACCATTACAAGTAGTATTTTCACACTAAAGGAGTTTCTATCGTGAAAGCTGTGGCATTCTAGCTTGCGATTCGTCCAGTGGAGAACATCAATAACACAAATTTCCTTATCAATTGCCCTCAACTTGTCAGCAGCTCCATCTGAATCAAATTTTCGTGAGTGCATCAATGGAAAAGTGATATTTTTAGTGAGGAAAAAGACGAATTAGTGGTCGAATTAAGAGATGAATTGGACGCACGTGAAGCGGATTTACGTAAAATGCAGCAGGAACGTTTGGAGTTGATCAAAGACGCCAGAGCTGCGAAGGATTATCGAGATGAGTTGGATTGCCTTCAACATAAGGTTCGCTCATCTTCCAATTCCAGCTCATCAATTTCTCGAGCTATTCTCCATAAAAGCAGTTACAAAATAACCAGAGAATGAATTGTAACAAACAATTTAACGAATTTCTCAAATGAAACAATTCAAGAACGGACTTTATGTTGTCATGAATCGTTCACTAAAAGAAATTGTTCAGTTCTCGAGAACAGTTTACAATTAGGCCATAAGCTGATTGTGAGCATTCTACGGAAGTAATCAGGAGTTTTTCGCGTTTGCAGCTTACGAAACTGGAACGGCTTGAGACCGAAAATGTGAAGTTGAGAGAGAAATTGAGCGAAATGGAATTCCTGAAGTCAAGATTATCGGTATGTTTGATTGTAATTCGTTCGTTCATCAACTGTTAAGTTTTTTATCGACTAATTGTCGAAATTAAGAAAGCACAGTACTAAGCGATAACAACGGAACAAGATCAATGTCCAGCTGTAATTTCCCAGATTGATATCTCAACTGCAGAATTCAAGTTGATATGATTCTTTGGATTAAGCAGATTCACAATGCGTCAAC